TAGATTGGATGAAAATCAGTGGCATATTCACCCAATTTATTTCCAGAGGAGTGTGATGAATGGGGCTGTTGGAAATAGCACATAAATCTTGCCCAGAAAGTGGAAATGTATCAGGAATACTTTGTGTTTTGAGCCAGACTAAGTTGATTAATGTTCTGGAAAAAAATGTGGACACATAATTGCTGTCAAAGGCATTACCTGAGAAAGGACGCGTGCTTGGGCGGTGACTTCACTGGTCACCGGGGGAGTGTGGCATGTTAATGGCCACCAGCAAGAGAACATGTTGACAGCTCGAGGAGGAAACTGAACTGGTTGCTAGCACGGCCTTCAAACATTTCTTCTTTGTAACATGGAAGAGAGCGTTTATTTCTGAAGTGTGTACACATTTGCTAATTCGGTATTTTGTGGCTCGAGTCCTGTCTCTTTGCTCTGCCCCGTGGGAGTTTATGCCACGTGTTGGCAAAGGCTGTTGAGCTGGGAGGCTGTGCGAGAGGACGCTTGGTGGCCGTGGCCTTTGAAATGGGACCAGGCTCATGAAGGGTCCAAGTATGATCAGGAAGGTCAAGATCAAAGCACACCAGGCACTCCGCACCCACCCCCTTGGGGAAGTTCTTTCAGAATATATCATCTTGACATCCAGGAGAAACAAAGGAATGGGAGGGGTGATGGAAAGTGTAAACTTGCCTGATCACACTGGGAGCTAATAATTAGGGAGGCGAATTAAATGCTGGGGGTGGGGGGATGTGGAAAAAGGAGCAAAGGAAAAGAAAACAACCAAACCCGAGATGACATAGGAGCAAAGAGAATCAGTGTTATCAAGCCCTGGGCAACTGTCACTTCTGACAGCAGAGTGATGGTTGTCCTTGTCTCAGATTACCTGCATGGCAGGAGGTGTCATCTGCCTTCTTCCATTATTCAGCCTCCTCCGCACACCTGCTTTGTTTACTAACGCTGGTGTGCAGCTTGGCAGGTCTGCTTTTCCCCGGATTTGCTCCCTCTCTTCTTCATGTCATTCCAAGGATATAGAAATAACCCTTAGAAAAACCCTTTGTGAGAATTCCACTTTGGTCTGCATTTTCCAGAGTTCTGGTCTCCCTGAGTGGGCAAAGGCGGCCTGGCTGCCCCCAAGTCCATGGCTTTGCTGGTGTTGTTTCTTAGATGCCAACTAAACCACAGCGCAGAGTCAAGAGAGACCCATATTCATGATCCTTCCTCTTTTCCCCACAAAGATCCTTCCCCCTAGGACTGATTCAATTCGTTGGCCCTGGAATAAATAGATCGTTTCTAGTCTGAATGGAGGTCTAGTCTGAAAATTAGTGTACTTACTGAAGATGAGCTAATTATTTTAATTTGCTCCAAAGCTTCTGTCAGGCTGTCTTCAATCTCAGAGTCATCCAAGGAGAAGAGGTCCCCAGCTCGGGAAAGATCTTTTTGTCCCAAGACCAGTCTGAACAGGTGATGCATGGTGAGGAGTTTGATGGTCAATGGACTTTGTGTAGGCCCAGGGCCATGCGTCCTGGTTATCAGAGGTTAGTAAGGCAAAAACATGTAGCAGGAGGTATGCTTTGTATTCCTTGAAAGATCATTTTTCTCCAGACGTTGAGGTCTTCTTTGACACTCTCTGCAAGAGAAACAAATGACCCAATGTAGCCATTAGTTGAAAAACATGACCTCAGAATGTGAACTTGGTGCCCAGAGAAGGAAAAAAAACCTTTGGAAATGTGCATAGAGAAGTGATTTTCAACCTTTTGCATCTTGTGGCACACATAGACTAACTACTAAAATTCTGCAGCACACCGAAAAAATGCATTTTTTTCTGATCTTACAAAAAATAGGTATAATTTTGATTCATTCACAATGGACGGCTATTGTTATGTTGGCTGTTGTCATTTTTTTTCTTTGACAATCTGAGGGAAAAGAGGTCAGTGCCCCTGACTAATGAGCCAGGTATTGAGTGTTTTAAAAGTTATTGTGGCACACGGGTTGAAAACCACTGGCATAGAGTAACAGATTCCGGCTTGATATCTTCATATGAGATCTTTCCTTATTTTTTGTCTCAAAAGTCCTGGAAAAATTATTAGCTTATCCAGAATTTAATTTGAGCCGTAAAAAGCAACATAAATGCCACGTTTATTTTCTCCTTTCTATGTACGGTACTTCTCCTTTTTCCCCCATGCCACAGGGAAACGAGTGGATAAGCAACAAAGATGCCCAACACTTGCCGGATTTCCCACAAACAGATTCCCATGGAAACCAAACAGAAAAGGGCAAGGCAAGGAAGGGAAGAACATAGACCCACTGCCTGATTTCCTCTCTTTTCCTGGACATGGAAACCAATACTTACCCTCTTGTCTGGGCGTCTCTGCTATATTAATCGTAGAAGCTGCCCCAACCCTCAGTCCAGAAGATGACCTCAGTACTTGCCCTGTTCTTATACCCTCCCTGAACAAGCAGCAGTGAAATAAAGGACTCTTCCTAGGAGTGTGTGGCCAGATAAATCTGGACAGAATGTGAGCATGAACTTGAGCATTGAACTTGAAGATAACATTTCACTGCAGGCTGAAGGAGCAGGGTTTTGGGATCAGGCAGTCCTCCCTCTATTCCCACAGTGGAAATAATAAAGTCCCACTATACTTCTCACTCAATTAACAGTCCAAAGAGAGTAGGGAAATGGCACAAATTAAATACCCGACTATTCTCATCAGCTCCCTTCTGGGCCTAATAAAATCACAGACCAATTGCACTGCGGAGATCTGAGCCATTATTTAATGGCCAGGGAGGTTTAATGACTTCACCAAGGCCCCATGGTAACTGTACCAGTGCTGTTTTCCTGATTTCAGGCTGGTGGGCTTTCCCCACAATTTACAGTGGAGTCATCTCATACATGCAAGTAACTTACAAATGCAGCCACATGCACGGAGGGTAAGAACTGGCAGTGATTTATTTAATATAAGCAATAGGCAACTCTGCCAGTCATTTTACTCTGCATGTGCTTCACAGAATGAGTGTGAAAAGGACTAGGGGAGCCTGTTGCTTCCTGGGCCATCTCAGACATCCCTTCTGAGCTATCACTGTGGGAGCACCTCTCTGTGCTGAATGCAACTTTAAAGTTTAAAGACGCATACTTTCTATGCAATATGGTCTCTAAACACAAGCCAAATACATTCTCAGTGCTATTCCAAAAGATGCAATTCATAGGCCATTGAAGAGATTTCAAGGGTAATATTGCCCACATTCAACTTTTACACTACCTACCAGCTTTAGAAAAATGACACCCAATATTTGTACTGCACGTGCTTGTCTATGCGCCAGGTACTGTTCCAGCTGCTAAGTAAACATTAACTCATTTAACCTCAATAATAACTATATGAGGATTATGACCTTGATAATAACTATATGGCAGGTGAGGAACCCAAGGCATTAAATAACTTGCCCAAGCCACACAGCTAGTAAACTGGGGAGCTAGATTTTGGGTCCAGAGTGCTAAATTCCAAGTTCATAACCATTGTGGCATATTGATTCCTTGTGAGGCTGCTATTAGGAATAAAGGCCCTCAGAGCATTAGTATCATTTGAGGATCATGAGATGGGTAGAGTCTTAAGAAAATGAACTCCTCTTCCCTTCTGCATTGACCCTGCATCCCTGCCCATCTGTGCTCTGGGGTTTAGGCCAACCAGAGAGCAAGAGAGTCACAAGGAAGAGAAGCGTAGAGGAAGAGAAATGAAGGAGAGTGGTAGGGAAGATTTAGGGAGGGGCGTAAAGAAAGAGGGTTGAGGGTCCTACAGAGAAGTTTGCACCCTGGCAAATGTGGAAAGGTGAATTACAAGATCTACCAAAAAAAAAAAATAGAAAAATTGGGACAGTTTTCCTCCTGAATTTTCTCCTTAACACAGTCTGCGCCCTCCCCCCCACCCCCCTTAGACATTTATAGTGACAGAGTCTCAGAGAAATAATATTCAGGAAAGTAAGACATTGGATGGAAATGACTTTACCTTGACCAGTCAGCTTCTTGGTCAATATCTGGCATTTCCTGAATCAGATTCAGCTGCCCCACACATCAGAGTCGGAGCTCTGAGAAGGAGCAGAAATACCAGTGGGGGGAGAGGAGCACCCACAGTGACAGCTGGCGCGGAGCCCCATTCACGCTCCCACCTTCAGCTGTTACTCTTGAATGTCCATCATGTGCCAAACATTATTGTGCAGCACACAGCTGCACATGAAAACGTTCACACATCCAGGGTGGGGGAGGGATGGGTGAGACTTATACCCAACATGCTACAACGCAGGGATGGCCCAGAGAAAAGATTCCTGTGTACCGTAAACGTTTAGGGAAGTACAAGGGAGAGAGAGATCTGTCCTAGGGAAAGATGATAAGCAATGGCTTTGTGGAGGAAGTGGCGTTTGAGCCAAACCTTTTAGAATATGCTTCATTCAATGCATGTGTCCCGAGTACACACTAAATCAACTTCTTATCTGAGGTTCAAGTCACAGACTGGGCACTCAGTGGTTATGGGACTTTTGGCTCATGCTTTTCCCTTCCTTGAGCCTCGGTTTCTTGATCTGCAAAATGGGGCTAATACATGCCTAGTCTATCTCATCTGATTATTTTGAAGATCAAAGCTGCTAACACTTAAGAGTTCGTTGTAAAATAATGACACCCACAGTTGATGCTTAGCGAGTGTTATACATGTGTCAGGTACTACTCCAAGTACTTCCCAAAAACCGAGTAACTTCATTCACATGACAATTCCATGTGATGAGAAACTGATGTTCAGAGAGGAAAATAACCAGCCCAGGGGCACATGGAGAGTAAGCTGCAGAGTTGGGGGGCGCGGGGGGGGGGGAGGCACTAGGCCGGCCATGACAAAGCCGGCTCAGGGCTGTGTACAGTGGTATCCACGACCCTGTGTGATCATTATTCAGCTGCCTCCCTTCCCATCAGTCCTCATTTAAAGTGCATCCCGCATGCTACACTACACCATCCTCTCCTGGATAAGGATCAGCAAACACGTTATTTATTTTTCAGCAGCTCGGGTCAATGTTTTGCTCAAGTGTCTGGTCTCTCTGTAACAGCAGAGAAAGTCAGAGCCAGATCAAGTTCCACCTCATCTTCTGGGAAACCCACTAGCCTTCTCAATGGCAGTGCCCGGTGGCCTATTCGCATGCATACAGATGCACCCACCAGACACACGCAAGCACACACATGTGCACACACATGCACATATAGGCACACATCAGATACTTTCTATACACCAAGCTCTTTCTTGACACTTTCTTCTCTTAGTTCTCCCATCAACCATGCAGGTAGGTATTATTACCAAAGAGGAAACAGGACTGGGGAGATTAAACATCCTGTCCGAGGTTCTACCCAGAGCCAAGATTCACGTCCAAGTAGGTCAGCCTCTAAATCTCGCACTTTTGGAATTACAAAAAAATCTGGCTTATAAAATTCCCTCTTACTCCCAACTTTCATGCTCACAATTTCTCTTTCTAACATTTCAGGGAGCCTAATCTGAAGTCCCCATTCGCATTATTTTGTATATATTTTTAAGCAGGTATTGGTTGACAAGTCAGGTTTCTGTAAGGAGAAATAGACACCACAAAAAGAGAAATGATTCTGCACCCAGCACGACACACGTCCGGGAGTCCCAGCTCTCCCCGCAAACTCAGTTTACCTGCATGCTACTCCCCAAGGCGCGCTTGCTCTTACTTAGCTGTTGGTTTGGGCAGGAGGGTTCAGGCAGCGGACTCCCAGGGCACAGGGAGCGGAATCCACTCAGCTCAGTGAACCTGAAGCTGTTCATTTCGTGCCAGTGCCTGGTGAAAGAATCCCAGGAATGCAGCCTGATGCTACCGGCAGTAGCTCCAGAGCAGGTCAGGTGACAGGCTGCACCTCACCCAGTGGACAGAGAGAGCTGCCTCTGAGTGAAATGCTGTTTCCTGGGGCGAAACATAAAGCCTGCTCCAGTAGACTTGTTTTTAACAGAGAAAACAAAACTCCCTGTGTTCGTGAAAATCTATACTTTCCCGGGGAAGAATGGGGGGTACTGGGGGGAGAAGCCACGCAGGAAACATGGTTTCAACAGGAACTCAAGCAGGTGACTGGAATGGCTATGGGGAGCCCTTTCACAAAGCCCGGGGAAGAAAGAGTTGTAACTTAATTAACACCTCCCTCCCTCTGGAGATTTCACACTCAGAGTTGGAAACACTGAGCGTTTGTCCTGTAGGAGCCACAGCTCCTGAAGAAGCCATCCTCTTGTTCTGCCTCTAGAGCAGCGATTTTCACCCTTTTCCATCTCATGGCAACACAAACTAATTATTGGAATTCTGCAGCACACCAAAAAAATATATTTTTTTGCTGATCTGACTAAAAAAAAAAATAGGTATAATTTTGATTCTTTCACACCAGATGGCTATTGTTGTGCTGGCTGTTGTCAATTTTTTTTTTTTTTAAACCTGACAATCTAAGGCAGCGGTTCTCAACCTGTGGGTTGCGACCCCTTTGGGGGTCAAACGACCCTTTCACAGGGGTTGCCTAAGACCATCGGAAAACACATATATAATTACATATTGTTTTTGTGATTAATCACTATGCTTTAATTATGTTCAATTTGTAACAATGAAATTGGGGGTCACCACAACATGAGGAACTGCATTAAAGGGTCGCGGCATTAGGAAGGTTGAGAACCATTGATCTAAGGGAAAAGAGGTCAGGGCCCTTGGCATTGCATGTTTTAAAAATTCTTGTGGCGCACAGGGAGACTAATACTGCTGCTCTAGATTAATACTGTTGGAAGTTTAAGAATGCAGGAAGTTGCAAATAAGCGGAACAAACTTACTCCACAAAAATGCACACAGCAGGTTCTCGAATAATGTCCTTTCTTTCAACATCCGTTTTGTTACAATATTGATTACTAAGGAATTCAAGTCCCAGCCGGGGAGGCCACTGTCTGTGTGAAATATGCAAGTTCTCCCCACGTCCATGTGGGTTTTCTCCCACAGGAAAATGTGTACTTGAGGTGAATGGGCTTGTCTACATTGTCCTACCTAGACTGAGTCTGTGTGTGTGTGAGTGCGCCCCCCAGTGGAAGGGCATCTGTCCAGGCTGCCTCCTGCCTTGCATGCTGATCTGCTGGGAGGGGCTGCTGCCATGGGGACCCTGAACTGGAACAAACGGTTTGGAAAATAATGATCTGACTTGTTTTTATTAATCTTTCTTAAATGTATGTGTAGCTCACATTTATTTCAATGTTTATTATTAGAAGTGTTCTGGGTCTTTATTTCAAAGCTTGGTATGTTTTTGTGACCAGATCTATGCCATAGGAACTTAACCCTGTGTATAACAATTAGCCCATGGTGAAATTGGTTTTGTTATACCTCATTTTGCTGAAAGTTGCTGTTTCCAAGAATCTATCCATGACCTTAAGTGAGGACTTACTGTACCCTCTTCCCCCCACTTTATTTGTTGGAAGGTTCTTCATAAAAATCCATTTGGACCAGATATATCAATTTGTATTTTAAATATTGCAGGAAAAATGTTTATCCTGCTTGACATATTGATACTCCAGAGGAGAAAAAGGTACCACAACCCTCTTTTATTGTTTCAATGATTAACTGCATTTTCTGAAAGTGTTTTAAACTGTATAATTCTCTACCCCCATTTTGCCTGTTCCTATAGTAAGTCTACTACCCATCAAATCACCTATCTGCTGGTAAAGTGTAAGGGAAGCTGTGCTGTAGATAAATTCATCTGTGTAATCAATAAGATGTGGGCATTGTGGCTATCTTCTCAGAGTGCTACCCAGCAAAGGTGTCTGGTCAGATGGCCGCATACCTGCCATTAAGCCAGGCCATAGGCTCCAGACCTCATACAGCTTCCTAGAAAATTGGTGATCAATTATATTTTTATGACATCAACACAGAGAAATGTCCCCTCAAAGAATTTCTTTTATAAAAATGGAGAATCTGGCCATCTGTGAGTAGGTGTATTCTTTTATTAGTAATTCTTTCTGGCTTAAAGCAGTGGTCGGCAAACTGCAGCCCCTTGAGTGTGGCTCTTCCACAAAATGCCACGTGTGGGCGCGCACGTACAGTGCCATTGAAACTTCGTGGCCACACTCAAGGGGCCAAAGAGCTGCATGTGGCTCGCGAGCCGCAGTTCGCTGACCACTGGCTTAAAGATAGTGTTAACATCTCTTCCTTTCATGGATAATCTCTATTTCTTTAGCATTCATTCTTTTTCACCCTTTTCATTTCTAATAGTTCTTATCACTAGATTTCATCCAATTTTCTTACATTTTTAAAAGAGTCTAGGGTCCAGACTTGGACACTATGGAACCCCAGGGAGAAGTGGGAACCTGGATACAATTGAGTTTGGCTATGCCATTGCCTGCAGTGTAAACCTGGGCAGATTAATTAACCTCCCCAAGCCTCAGGTTTCTTATCTGCATGGGTTGTTGGGCGGTTTAATGAGATTACGTAAAGCATTTAACACAGACCTTGGCAGAGAGCAACCACACAAGAAGTGACAGCAATTATATCCTTAAAAATATTATCCTTATAGGCCATTCTTCTGTTAACTTGTCCCCATGCCATCCCTCTTAAAAACTAATATACCACTGTGCAGATACCTAACATTGAGTGTACCATGTTAAAGGTGCCCGGGTGTTCCCATTTGTGCCATATTTACATCCTACTTGTATTCTCCCTCGATCTTCAATCTGGGTACATCATGAACTATCTTGAATGTGTCCCTATTGTTTTAGTTTTTTGCAAACTTACCTTGTTCCCTGGAGAGAAAGCCTTACTGTGGCACTATGCCAAACAGTCACAGTGAGGAGGGAGTGTAAAATTCCCTTCAGGACAGCAGAGAGAATGTTCTTTATGACTTTTCAAAGTGACCTACACTCAATGGATGCTAATAAAACATTGCTGGCTTACACGAGTAGATTCTGCTAAATGGAAATATAGGAAAACTCAGGAAGCCAATTTATTCTGAAGAAATTAACCTCTAGCATCCATCCCCAGATTCAGATGTTCCCTGGTGTCTTTGCTTCTAGCATAACAATATTTATTCACACCATGCCTTGGACAACACTATTGTGCATTAAAAAAATCTCATTTTATTAAAAATCCCCACTGATTAGCATAGACCCACTTGGGTTCTGGAAACTTTCGATAACGTTCTCAGATAGATTTTCCCCTGAAAGAAAGGATTACAGATTCTTTTCAAGGAGCATCTTTTTCACACCGTGTGAAAGCACCGCAGGCGTTCCCATGGGAATTGGCCGCATACTTTCAGCCCTTTCCACAAGATGTCCATTGTTCCCTGGGTGGCTCTTAGGTTCCGCTGCCACTACATGTTGCTACACTTCCCTTCCACTGCAGTGTAAAGCAGAGGCTGGGTATTCCACCTGATGCTAAAGAACTGTCCTTGGCTTGTTGCTAGGACTCATATAGTTCTAAGCTTGTAGGAGGCTTGCCACCATAAGCACACAAAAAATAGGCAAGAGCTCAAAAACCATATTTAAATTGGAATATGTATTGCAACTTGCTGAAACAGAAATAGATAGGAAACATTTTTCTTCATGGGGAATGAGGGAAACATCTTCAAGGCTAACCAACTTTCTAAACCAAGAATGTGTGATCTGTCATCATAATGTCATAGTGTCTCCACTTTCACCAGTGAAGTTGAACTTTGCAGGTCATATTTGTTCTGGAATTGATATGCATCTTGTTAAAACTTTTAATTCAAATTTTGTAGGTTTATTTTTACAGAAAGCATACCCCAACTCTCAAATTACAGGGAAAATTCAATTTTAAATGTATCTTTATTTACACTTAAATTGCATATATCAAATAACTGCATGCCCAATTCCAACAATGCCTTAAGTGTTTTTTTTTCTATTCTTTACATTGAAAACATTTGTAAATGTCATGAAATCCAATGATCGATTACTATCGCAATTTGAACAAACAAAACACATATTTAAAAGAACAAAAGAGTGGTTAGATTTGATGATGATTTCTAAGATATCCTAAATATCAGTGGGAAAAGTGACAGCAACAACAATCAGTAATGGTGACTGCCCTGCTCAGTGGCTGTCATGATGCTACTGAATTTTCGTTGAAAGCCATAGGCAGGGTCAGTCTCTTTGCGGGTTGCAAAATGTTTCTGCAGGTTAACAAAAGCATGAAATGGAAACGCGCCTGCACTATTATGGAGTAAAACAAAACTGCACAAAGAGGCACAGTGTTCGGCTCTTGAGGCCTAGAGACATGTTATTAATAACCCACAGAGAGGTGGCTTTTTTACCCATAGAACTGGAAAGCGTGCATACAGGCTAGACACACAAGTCCCAGTGCGCTTTATCTGCATAAGCAGCCAGCCCCTGGGAGTTTCCCTGCCCAGCTCCGGCAGCCCACCCCTGTCTCACTGAAGCTTCTGGCATTTACTTTAATTAGCTTTTGTTTTTGCTGAACGAAAGGACAGGAAAGAGGATAGCCATACCTCTTAGCACAGGACACTCTGGCCATCATAGGGAAGAGAAGGCAAATGCCTCATCTGTAGAGCAGTTCGTCTGGACCCCGGGACCACCACGCTCAGATGCAGCCGGTAGCTCCTGTCCCGTCCGGTCCTGGTGGCTGCAGCCAGCTGCCCTGTGCTGCTTGTCAAGGCTGCGGAACACTGGCTTCTCCCCTGGACTCACCGTGCAGAATCGGGCAAATGAGTAACTTCTCCTCCCTCTCCCAAACTTCTGCATAGAGCTAACAATTGGCACAGAGCTTTGCTTATTTCTACGGGAGATTTACAGAAGCTTTTCTGAGCAAATCAGTGTTGGAAAGAATTACAAGATTTGCCTAACAACCAGTCATTTAACTTCTGTTAATGAATAACCCACTTTAAGGAATCAAGGAAGTTTAGGTTAATATCAGATGTGGGCCTTTTTTATCAGGCAGGCATCAGTAAAAAGGCTTGGGGAGGGATGGAGAGAGGAAAGTAGGGAAGAGAGATAGTATTTAAGCAAATTTGATAGAAATAATGTACCACGAGAGAAGTAAAATGGCTAAGTATGCTATTGATACTGCTGATGAAGCACTGAACTAAAGGAAGCACTAGGGACTTTTCCAAGCTGGTACTGTTCCTCCTTGCACCCGTCCACATTGCTAATTCGCTTCCTTTTAGCATCCAAATATAGAACTCCTCCTTTCAGGTTTAACACAGGAGGGATCCCTTACCAGCAGTCCTATATCTCCTTACATCCCTCTCTCTCTTCTAAGAAGATTGCTTTCCAACCCCCAAAAGCTTAAATAAATTGGCGGTACCCGTGGGTTGTTATACCTAAAGGCTCCCTCTCCCCTTTTAAGTGTCCGACATGGGCTTTCTCCCCTTGTTGGTCCGAGGTTTTGCCTACACATAGAGTGATAGACTATTTGTGAGCCATTCTAACCAGCTTTCAGTCAAACTACGTGTGTGCTTGCGGTGGGGGAAGAGTAAGGTGTACAACTGGAAATATCAATATTCCCGTGTCATTGGCAACACACTGCTAGCAAATAAATTGCTGGCTCAGTTAAAAGGCATATTCATAAGGTAACGAGGAATTTTTTGTGTGGTTACCACCCAATAGCCACTTACCCTACTTCTGATAAAATTGCACCCAAATTTCTCTTGGGAAACAATGTTTGGCAGATTTGACTCACATAGACAGATTGGGTCTTAGCTAGTCAGAGAAAGTGCATTCCCCTGACCATAGCGATTAGTCCAGGGGAGGTGTGTGACTCCTTCCAGCCCGATGGGAGTCATGACAGATACGCATGTTTGGCTTTAGTGGGACAGAGTCAATCCTGCTGGCCTTGGTCAGAAGAAAATATGAGGACAGGTCACGCTTGCCATTTTGCCACCAAGAAAGCAAATCTTAGTGACTTCATTTGGGCCCCTTGAACCAGCTACCCCTGATGTTGACATGACCTACCCTTTACTGTAAGCCAGTTCTTTACTAGCTTAAGTAATTCTAGATTGGGCTTTCTGCCAGTTGCCATTAAAAAAGTTCTACCCAACAGAATCAGCGAAACCTAGGTTTGTGGGCGGGCTCTTCTGGGTCCCCACAGGGCAGCTCCTTGCAAAGGAAATGAACTAGGAGACTCATTAGAAACTAGCTATGACAAACGAGTCCCTTTCATGGCAACCACAGGCTTCCACAGATAACCAGTAGAGGCCAGAAAGGCCTGCGAAAGAATGTAGTCATTCAGTGTACCTGAAAGTGGAATTTTCCAAATTAATTCTTCTTAACTACATGTTCAGTTCCTCAAATACTTCCATTCTAATCACCTAGACTTGTTGGTGGTTCCGAGCCACATACCATTTGACCTCAATAAACCTGACCATGAAATCCATCCATGCATGCACAATTTTCATACATTCCTTTGGGTAATTAGTTTCACAGACTATTGCTCTATTTTTATCCCCCTGCCCTCTGCTCCTGCCCCCACCCCATCTTTGGTAAATTTGAAATAAAGAACATTCTCTTTAACCACAAAGTCAGACTAAGGAGCTTCCTTTATGGCAATTATATATATTCTAAAGCAACTTTAAATGGGTAAGCTACATATAAACACAGAATTCCTGGATGGTTTCATTTTCTGAAAGTAACTTTTCTTACCTGAAACCTGTGACAGTCCTTCAGGTACACCATTTTTGCGTTCAGCCACCCAGCTTTGCAAGAGCCCATTACAGGGCACAGAAAAACTCAGACATGTCCAGGAACTCCCTAGAAAACTTGAAGCCCAGATGGTTTCATTGATGTATTCTATAGAAATAAATAATACCAATTGTATAAAATTGTTTCAGAAAGTTTATTTCACAATAAGATGCTTTGAGAACTATTCCTATATGAATTATAAAGAAATATCTATAGACTAGAGGCCCGATTTACGAAATTCGTGCAAGGGGCTTGCCTTGGCCCTCGCAGCCCTGGCTTCGTCTGGAAGGACGTCCGGCTGTCTGGTCTAATTAGCATATTACGCTTTTATTATTATAGATGTGTATAGTGGCAGATAGCATTTCATCCTATGAATATAGCACATTTTGTCCATCCAGTCCTCTACTAATAAAGTTGTAAGTGGTGTGCAGGATTTTACTGCATTGTTGGGGCTGAAAGAACACGTTTGAGCTAGGCTACTTGGCTTCACACCCAGTCTTACCATTTACTAGCCATATGACTTTGGGCCACAATCCTAACCTTATTATTATTATTTTTTTAGGGGGGGTGTCAAGGTTTATATTTTTTTCTAAAAGGCAAGGATATTAATTGTACCTACCTCCTAGAGTTGTTATGAGGATTAGCTGGGATAATATTTGTAAAGTACTTAGAGCCAGACTGGAATGTAGTAAGTGCCACGTGAGTGTTTGTTAAATACACACTCGAAGGAACATCTTTGCAAGTGCTTCCTGGTAGAGAGTTGCAGGAATTTGTCTAGGATCCATACCAAACGTGAAATTACTGGGTTGGAGGGTATGCATATTTTTTAATTTTACTAAACACTGCCAACTTACACTCTAAACTGTCAGTACCAACCAATAGTCCCACAAGAGGGGCACAGCTTTGTCACATGCCTGACAACACTCAACAAAGACTCTTTAATTTGACCTGTTTAATGAAAATCTATCTTTTTTTTGTACTGATTTGCCTTTCCAGGTAAGTGATGAAATTCAACACATTACATATTCTGAATATATCCATAATTCCTCTTCTTTTAAATGTCTGTTTCCAGCCGTGGGCAAACTACGGCCCGTGGGCTGGATCCGGCCCGTTTGAAATGAATAAAACTAAAAAAAAAAAAAAGACCGTACCCTTTTATGTAATGAGGTTTACTTTGAATTTATATTAGTTCACACAAACACTCCATCCATGCTTTTGTTCCGGCCCTCCGGTCCAGTTTAAGAACCCATTGTGGCCCTTGAGTCAAAAAGTTTGCCCACCCCTGGTTAGACTCACATTCTTTCCGTAGACCTGTAGGGAGTGTCTTTTCCTTACTGATTTGAATAAGTGTTTTATGTATTGTAGATTCTAAGGCTTTGTCGGCTACATACATTGCAATTAAATTTAACTTATGCTTCACTTTTTTTGGGGGGGAGGGCACTTGTATTGGAAATTTTTGTTTTAATTTAAAAAATGTAATACATTCACATAGTTCAAAATTTAAAGACATATACTAGTATTAAAAGGTGTACAGTGAAAAGATACCCTCAAACCCCTGATCCTGAACTACTTAGTTTCTGCTTGAACTTCTGTTACAAGAACCAACAAATATCCTTTCAAAATTTCTTAATTTAAATATAAATAGCTACTTTATTTCCCCAATTTTACATAAATGGCAATTTGCTATATATACTCAGTTCTGTATATTGCTTTAACCACTTTATATCTTGGTGCTTTTTCCATATTGGCATATAGAGAGCTTGCATCTTTTTTTTAAAGCTGCATATTATTCTACTGTATGGATATGACATAATTTATTTAATAATTGGTATTTGGGTAATTTCAACCTTTATCCCTAAATATAAAACAGTAATTAAATTAATTAATTAATTCATTCATTCATTCATTTTAATCCTCATCCAAAGATATTTTTCCATTGATTTTTTTAGAGAGAGTGGAAGAGAGAGGGAAAGACAAAGAGAAATATCGATGTGAGAGAAACACATTGATTGGCACGAGCCCTGACCAGGGCCCTCCTGCATGAACCCTGACCAAGGCCTGGGCCACAGCCGGCAACTGAGGTATGTGCCACCATAATCAAACCTGGGACCCTTGGGTCCACAGGCTGACACTCTATCCACTGAGCCAAACTGGCTAGGGCTAAAGAGTAAATTAAAACAGAAGATTTTTGCTTTTAAAACATTACCTTTTCTTTTATGGTTTATACTTTTTACTTCTTATTTCAGAAAGCCTTCTCTATCCTGAGTTCATAAAGATAGATAATTCTTCTATATTTTTTCTGAAATAGTTATTTTTTCATACTTCGATTTTAATACAAAATTTATGTTATTTATAATGTGAAATAAAAATCTGGTTTTATATATGTCTATATATCAAA